CGCTTAACGACTGAGCCACCCAGGCGCCCCTGAAATGAGGAATTCTTAATCTCAGGAAACAAACTGAGGGTTGCTGGAGCGGTGGGGGGTGGGAGGTATGGGGCGGCTGGGTGCTAGACATTGGGGAGGGTATGTGCTATGGTGAGTGCTGTGAATTGTGTAAGACTTGCTGAATCACAGACCTGTACCTCGGAAACAAATAATACATTATATGTTAAAAAAAAAAAGAAGAAGATAGTAGGAAGGGAAAAATAAAGGGGGGGAATCGGAGGGGGAGACGAACCGTGAGAGACTATGGACTCTGAGAAACAAACTGAGGGTTCTAGAGGGGAGGGGAGTGGGGGGATGGGTTAGCCTGGTGATGGGTATTGAGGGCACGTTCTCCATGGAGCACTGGGTGTTATACGCAAACAATGAATCATGGAACACTACATCAAAAACTAATGATGTAATGTATGGGGATTAACATAACAATAAAAAATAAAAAAATAAAAACTATTGATGTAATGTATGGTGATTAACACAACATAATAAAATTAAATTAAAAAAAAAGAAAGAAAGAAACACCCGTAATGCAAAGAAAGCAAAGAGGGAGATCTCACTCAGGGAAACGTCAGTCTTTGGCCTCAGTTATTCAAGACGGAAGATGACAAAGGAACTTAGTTTTCCTCTTAAGAAAAAGAACAAAAACTAAACCCAAAGAAAATAGACAGATGGAATTAATAAAGATAAAAGCTGAAGTTAATGAAGCAGAAAACAAAAAAAAAGGAAAAAGGATAAATCAAAATCCTGTTTTTTCTTTGAAAAGACCAACGGAATGTATAAACGAGAAAGGAGATACCACTGCAAACACTGAAGAAACAGAATTATGGCAGTTTACCTTAGAGGAAACTGACGTTATAGACCATTAACACAAGAAAGAGGTGCTTATGATTTTTTAAAGCAGCTTCTAATAAGACCCCTTTTATGCAGAATCATAAGCACACGTGTGTGAATGAGGTGCATCTAAGTATGTGAGAGGGGCATCTGTGAGGGGTGTGTTTGCACACCCGTGAGTCGGTGTGCGGGTGTGGGTAGAGGTGGGTGTGTGAATGGGGAGGGGTGTGGGGGGGGTGCACGTGCACGAGCTGAGGTGCAGAAAGCAGGGTCCCCACAATGCCGACGCTGCTCTCAGGGGCAGGGATCCACAGCATGAAACTCTTTTGCAGACACTTGTCTGCCCTCTAGGAATTCGGTATGAGGCCAGGCATCGCTTGCAGAAAACGCCAACATCCGGTGGCTTCCCTGAAGAAACAATGGCAGGAGCGCTGGCCTGTGTCGTGTCTCCAGCTTTCTGCTTGAGGCTTGTGCATGGCCTGGTTCAGACTCTGTCCCCATCACATTGTTCCCTGCACAAAGACAAGCTGAAAACGCTCCTGGCCTTGTTACTTTGGTTCTTGTCCCTCTGCATGAATAATTCTGTTTTCAATTGGCTTGTGCCACGTTCCCCGAGTATGCTGCTGATCACAGACACATCCCCATTGGCAGACACTGATGTGGCTTATCAGCCAGTGACACATCTTGACGACAGGCAGGTGGCTGGCCAGGGTGAGCTGGAGCGGCGTTGTTGTTTCCCTGGGTCTGGCCCCTTTCACGCAGCGTACGTACCATGGGTATCCCCCTCCCCCAGAGTGTCGTGTCTCAGGAGCTCACAGATGTGCTGTGCTTTGTTCCACCTTCTGAGGCTGTGTCCAGTCCAGGATTGTTATGAATAAAGCTGCCATGAACAGTCACGTGTGAGTCTTTGTGTGGACACATACATTCATTTCTGTTGGGTAAGTAAATACCTAGTAGTGGAATCATAGGGTCATCGTGGCAGGTGCACGTGTAGCATTTTAAGACACAGCCAAACTGTTTTCCAAAGTGGTTGTATCATCTTACATTTCTACCAGTTCTTCTACATCATCGCCAAAACTTGCTATGGGCAGCCTTTTATATTGTAGCCATTCTAGTAGATGTTAAACGTTCAGGAATTTTGAGAGCTGATTGTGAAACACCACCATCATTAGAAATGAAATTATCTGAAGCTCCACTTATATTAAAAACAAAGGAGATACTCAAAACTCATCATATCCTATCTCACCACTTTACTGTTACCCACGTACTGACCCCCACCTACCGTACCCATTGGTAGGAGTCTACATTACAGCATGCTACAGTGAATCTCTGCCCGGCTTCGCATTCGATGACGTCGTGTGGGTAGCCGGAAATTGGCCCGGTGCATGGACTGACAACACCACGGGACAGCATATGCTACAAACCAGGGCTTGATCCATTACTGTTGGTTGACTGTGTAAACTTGAGTCTGTAGTCACTATGTCATGACTAGAAGAAAAAGGAGCGGGGCGGGGGGAGAGGATACTCTTCGAATATCAAAAACTATGATCTAGTTCAGCAAAGGTGTGGCTCATGTCACCAATGAACATGGGAAGTTCCCAAATATACCTTTGTTGTTTCCCTTCCTCTTACTCATTAAGATAAATGAAAATAGCAACCGACATTTATGTGGGAACCACACTCGTGTGTTTACATCCTTCATATCAATCAAATTGAAAACAACTTATTCACGTGTGTGCATATGTACACACACGTACATACAGAGAGATACACACATACACAAACACACACGACTTTCCTGGAGAGCCGCTGTCGCCCACCCATCAGCCTGTGTGTGCAGGTCCAATAAGCGCGGGCCCAGGGAGGGTGCCTGAGGCCAGGAGAGCCCGAGGTGGGGAGAGAGAGGCATCTGGGCCCGGGGACCACTCCTGACATCACCACCTCCGCAAGTCAGTGGCCTAGAGCTTGAATGGCTAGCTAATGGGGACCCAGCCCCGCTTGGGCACCAGAGGATCTGAGGGTTCCTGGCTGCCTCGGCCCTGGTGGTGTCCCCTACTCTTTCAGCCCCTGCCTGGTGCAGCCTCTGGGCCCGAGGGCCCACCCTGGCCTGGCCTGTGGCCCTCTTCCAGGTGGGTGCTCTCCTGGGGCAGGGAGCCCACCAGCCTGGCCCGGGAAGCTCAACAGTGCACAGACCACACCCCCCCAACTAGCCCCCAATAGGTCCATCCCTTACCGTGTACCCTCCCGCACCACTGCCAGCCTGTCCTGGGCCAGGCCAGGGGCTCTCCCTCCAACTGAGCCCCAACGCTGCTGCTATAGTCCATTCTCCACAGGGCAGCCTGAGAAGCTGCGTGAAAACCTAAGTCAGATTTTGCCCCTCCCTGCCTACAACTCTGTGGCTCCCCACTGCCCTCAGGGTCAGTCCAGACCCCCACGCCCAGGCAATGGGCATGGCCTGAGGTGGCCACTGCCTGGGTTCCGTCCTCCGTTCTACTACCTTCCACATTGCAGTGGCTCTAGTCTCTCTGACCTAGTTAGAGTGTCCCGGATGGGCCCGGCTGGCTCAAGGCTCAAGGCTCAGCTCATGCGAGTCACTCTCGGGCGTGGCCACCCCACCCACCCCACCCTTCTCACCTGCTCTCCCTGTCTCCCAGACATTCCGCCCCTGCCTTGCCCCATTGTTTGGTGACACAGGTGGGGCCCCAGAGGCAGGTTAGCTGGCTCCCCAAAGCCCAGCAAAGACAGCTGCCGAGAAGCTGCCTTCCCCAGCAGAGCAGCCTCCTGGCCCCTCCTCAGGCCAAGCCACAAGGGTCACAGGGCCCAAGACAAACTCCTTCCTAGGTGCTGCCCTCACTGTGCCAGCCACCCCACCTATCCTGCACACCCCAGGCACCCCTCACCCCACATGCACCAGGGGGCCCTCCTGGAGACTGACTTGCACACGTAAGGTGCTTTTTGCGTATGTCCCATATTCTCCAGCACCCTGAGCATGTCAGGCACTGTACTGTTCCGTGCGCCCATCTTTCAGCCTGCTGCCCCCTTGCAGAGCAGGGACAGACGCTTCAGGAGAGGAAGGAGTTGCCCAGGATCCACAGGGGGCAAGAACTGGACCTGGGCTCTGCACCTAGGCAGGCAGAGGGCTCTGTGGGCACAGCACCCTGAACCAAAAAAGCCTGAGCTCCCTGGAGGCTCTCTTCCAGCTCCCTCCCCAGCTCAGATTCCAGGCAAGGCAGATGTTCCTAAGGCCCTGCTCACCAATTTCCTGAGCCTCCGGGGTGACAATGCCGGGAGGGGGTGATAACCAAGGCAACAGCAGACCAGCCGGGGAGGAGGCCCATGGCTGGGGACCCGCAGCCCCTGCCTGCCAGCGCCTTGGACCAGCCTCTGAGCAATAGCCGCTCACTGGCTCAGCCACCCACCCACCAGGCTCACCACAAGCGCAGGTCACAAGGGGGCGGCTCTGGGGGGCTCTGCTCTGGCCCCTGGCTTGGCTCCCTGCCTGCCCCCCTCTGGGCAGGGTGTAGGGGGGCAACTGGAAACTCAGCTGGCGAGTAGCTGTTGTTTATTGAGAGACCAGGTGAAGGGTGGGAGCCTGCAGCAGCAAACAACTAGAGCACAGTCCAGGGGTGGGGCTGGGAGAAAGCTCCAGGGCTACAAGGCTACACAGGCCAGGGCCAGGAGGAGGCCTGGCAGGTGCAGAGGCCCGGGGCTAGCTGGCTACGAGGGCGGGGGGGGGGGGGGTCTGGGCAGTGGGGCACTGGTCCGGGGCCAGCTCCAGGCCTCAGAGCCTGACCGGTCAAAGTTGGTGCCACCCATGCTGAGAGCGGGCCTCAACCCCTTGGGTGGTGGTCTCACTGAGCCCCTGGCACTCAGACTTCAAGGCTCGGGCCATCGGATGGCACATACATGGGCTCGATGCGGGCCCAGCTTCGGGCCTGCTCATCAGCCCAGCCAAGCAGCTCAGTAGCGCGGTGCAGGAAGACCATGAGCAGGGTGTGGACATCACCCTCGGCTGAGTGGGCTGCACTTGGCTCTGCCTGGAAGTAGCGGCGGAAGAGGCCGCCCAGGCTGTAACCCTTGCAGCCCTGGGCCCGGGTGCCATGGCTGTGGGCACGGTCCAGGCTCCGCAGCGCAGGCAGTGTATCCAGGCAGACGGTGTCCGGGGGCAGGTGGGCGCCCAGGCGCCGCAGTTCTGTGCACAGCAGGGGGAAGTCATAATCAAAGCCGTTGTGGGCCACAAGGCAGACGGGGCCCTCCTGGCGGCTCAAGAAGGCCTGCAGCGTCCGCACCACGGCGTCGTCGAAGCCGGCCTTCCGGCACCGCGCCAGGCTGTCGCTGCTCAGGCCGGTGATCTCACTGGCCTTGGCGGTGAAAGGGCGCTCTGGACTCATGCACAGCGTGAGCTTGTCCAGGACCCGGGGCAGCACAGGGGCACCAGACTCGTCTCGATCTGGGTTCTCCAGGGAGGAGCGGTGCACCGCAAACAGGGATATCTCAGCCACCTCGGGATCTATACTGGGGAGCCCAGTGGCTTCCAGATCCAGGAAGACGAAAGTCTCGGCCCGGGGTGCCTCAGACATGGTGACGTGCTCACGGGGACAGCAAAGCCTAAAGCTGCCAGGGCAAGAGGCACAAAACCTGAGGGCCAAAGTGATGGGGATGCCTGGGCCCAGCCACATACAGCCGACTCCGTGGCCAGTGCTCCAACCCCTTTGTTCAGGGTGAGGCCTCCTGGGGCCTCGGCAGCCTCTCCATTCTGTGCCCCAGTCCCTCCCTGGCCATTGTCACTACCACCAACTAGGAAACAGCAAAAGGTAGGGCTGATCTGCCCAGATCCCGGCCCAGAGGCCTCTGCCACCTGCCTCCAGATACCTGAGAGGCAAAGTGCGCCGGGTCTGTGTCACCAGGGACCTGGGGAGGTGCCAGTCTAGAATGGTGTCTTCACTGAGACACCGTGGCTGGGAGCCTGCACCCCTAGGGTCATCTGTCGGGAAGCAGGCAGCCAAGCATCCTTGGTTTGGCCTCCTCTGGCCTCCCCGGCACACAGGTGCCTTCCCCAACCTGGCCACCTGCCTCTGGGCTCCCGGCAGCTGTCCTCACCAACCCTGCTGCGCTGGCTTACCTGGGGCGGGTGCTGGCCGGCTTCCTGGGCTGCTGGGCACCTGTCTCCAAACAGGCTGCTCCAGGCGGCCTTTAATCAGTGGCCGTGGCCCGCCCCCAGCCGCCTGTTGGGCAGCGAGGAGGCCTAAGGCCGCAGGACCTGTGCAGCCGGCTTGCCGCCCCCTCGCTCACTCACAGCTGCTGAGACACACGCCCTGTGTTTACAAATTGGAAAGCAGGCTCCTAGGCCACACGCAGGCTCCCCACAAGCTGGGCCGTGGGCTGGAGGAACGTGTCATCACAGGCATGAGGAGGAAGTGTGAGCCAGGATTTAGCAGCTGAGCTAGGGCGACTCCCAGCAGGGCGGCAAGTCCCCTTCTCCAGGGCAGAGCTCCACCTGTGTCACGAGGGACCAGGTTGCCCTTCATGAGGCTAAAGTGAGCTCGGGAGTGGGCAAGAGGTGCCTGCACGTGCCGTGCTTAGCCAAGAAAGGGAAGGGTGCACTCAGGATGGGACCTCGGTGTCGCCCCCGTGACCTCGGGCGCTTTCCATGCTGCCTGGCTCACACATCTCACAGACTAGTCTTCCAGCAGGAAGGGGAGATGGTATATGTTTCACGGGCACAATGACCCATAATATCCAAGAGGCCTTTAGCAGAGGCTGCCAGGAAGGAGGAAGAGAGGCGAGGCCTGACCTGGCAAGCCATGTGGGCTCCAGCTGAACCAATCCTGCCCCACCAAATGAGGAAGGATGAGCCACAGGAAAGGTGGGGGCACGAGACCGCCTCAGCAGCACCCCCAGCCCCAGGACCATGGGAGTGGGAGTGAAGCCCAGCCCCTCAGAGCAAAGACAAGAAGACCCTCCCCGGCCAGAAAGCGGGCAGCATTGTCCCAAAGACCTCGTTCCGGAGCGAGACATGCCAGGCCTCGGCAGTCGGTGCCCATAGGCCCAGCCTCCTGCCAGGGGCACAGGGAGGCAACCGAGCTGCTGGCTGCGGCCTGCCCACCGCAGGCCCTCCCGAGTCCGTTGGAGGGTGAAGCTGTTGATGCAGCTGGGCAGCAGTGACCCTGGGCCTGCCCGTCCTCTCCCCCCACCCCCAGCAGTCTCCTTGTCTGGAGCACCCACAGGGGACTCGAGGAGGTGATGGCGTGGGAGCAGGTGAGGCTCACAGCCAGGGTGGGGCCCCACAGTGGACCAAGTGTTGAGAGGGAGGCCCCTCCTCAAGCCGCCTTTGGCCTGCCACTGGGCTGAGGGAGGCAGAGGCCCCACCAGTCATGCCTGTTCCCAAGTGTGGAGGGAGGGAGGTGGCTGTGACAGGCACACTGCTCAGGCCACTGGCAGGAAGTCCCCAGGCCGAGGCAGGGAGCCCTGGGGAGGAAGGAGGAGGAAACACACGCCCTGGCCACTGGATCCTGGATGTGGTGGGCGCCAGTGGCCAGGCCGAGGGTGTGGGAGGAGTCCACACGTGGGACCCCGAGGCCAGTCACAACAGAGGCAGCAGATTTCTGGGGCTTGGCATCGCCAAGTTTAACTGGGCAGGGAAGGAACAGAAGCCAACGGGAGCTGCTGCGAGGCAGACGGGGCAGAAGAGGGGCATGGCTGAGGCCACCTGGGACAGCGGGAAGGGCAGACCGGGCCGTAGGGTGCCGTGGCCCCCTCAGCTGCAGCCAGGAAGCAGCTTCTTAGAACCGAAGCTTTCCTTTCTCTCCAGCTCACCTCTGCCCTCTCCCTCCTTCCCTCCCAAGCCGCTGAAGGGCCTGGGCCCAGAGCACACGGGGGCTGTGAACGCTTCTCCTGCCCGTGGCTCCCACCCTGTGCCCCCCACCCCCAACCACCTGACTCTTCAGGGCAGAGCTTCCTGCTCACAGACTACTCCATGCCTTTCTGCAGACTGTCACTGAAGATCTTGTATTTCTGAGTTAGTTCTTCCACTTTGGTGGCTGCAGAGAAAAAAACAATACGAACAGCAAAGTGACTCCTAGCGCTTCCAAGCCTGGAAGAGGCTGCTCCCTACCCTCCCCCACCCCCAACGCCAGCCTTGCAAGCCTTCACTGTCTTTCGCTGGTTCTTCTCAGGCCCCAGGCGTCCCTGCGCCCTCAAAGGGCTTGCAGCCTAGGCATCCAACTCCCACCGTGATCCAGAAACTGCCAGGCCAGGAGCTGCCAGGAGGTCTAGGGCTAAGAGCACAGATGGAAGGCCCCTGTGGGTGCCAGGCTGAGCCCCAGGCCAGGTTCCACTCACTGGGCATTGTCCATGCCCACCGCAACCCTCACCAGAGCCCAGGAGCCAGGGGTTCTTCTGAGTTGGATGGTGTGTTCCCTACTGCTCAGACCAGTAACCCATGCACACAGACAAATCAAACGACACGGGCCTCAGCTGCACAACCCGCCCCCGCCGCCCCCCACCCACCGCCCCCCCCGGGGCCCTGGGCTTTCAGGGCTGGGGGCCCCGCCGTAATTCGCACCTGCCTCCTGACGTCCCAATTCCACAGGAGCACTGGGCGTGAAATACAGGGACTTTAGCTCACTCCCCTCCCCCACCCTGGGGACTCTGGGCTCTTCCCTCAGGTTCCCTTGGTTAGTGGTGCCTTCACTTAAATACACAACTATTCCTTCCTCCACCAACCTGCCTCTCCCCTCCCCTCCCACATGGCACGGTCTTTAATTGACATTTGGTCCCGCCTGTCCAGAGGTGACTCTGAGGCTCAGGAATCATGGGGGTGTGCCTCGGGGTGATGAGCCCAGCCCCAACGACCCTCCCCACTCGTCATCAGTGCTCCCGCTGGGCGCAGCCGACTGTGCTTCCTGTCCTGACCCCATCTCTCCCCAGATGGGGTTTTCTTAGGTCCCTCTGGGAATCATTTGCCTCTCCCACACCTCAGGCTTGTCCACTCTGCCTCCTGGGGCCGCCTCAACGCTGGGTGCTCCATCAGCTTACATGTCCTGGGCTCTCTTGGCCAGAAGCCAAGGCATTAGCCTCTGGAGGCGGCAGTTTCCTCTTTGAAAGCTTGGACCCCAGCACATTTGGGGTTCCATCTGCTCTGCACGCCCATCGCTCTATTTTTCCTTCCTCCTCCTCCTCTGGAGGGCCTGCTAGCCACCCAGATTGGCCCCCATTTTGTTGATCTGTGTCTTTTTCTCTCTATTCTTACACATTTGTTGCCTGCTCCTGTTGTCCTGCCCCCACAGAGCTCTTTCCCTTGATTTTTTTCAACATTCTGGCAACCACGTTTAACTTCTAAGGGTGTTTGCTTATTTTCCTCTTTGTTGGTTTTTCATAGTTTTCTAGGTTAGGGAAGTTCACTTCTCTGAATGACCCATTAGCCCTGCTTTTCCAGGTCTTTCTTCTCTCTTCCATGGTGCTGGCCCAGGTTGGGGAGAGGAGGCCTGGGAGCTAGTGTACTGGTCCCCGCTCCACTCTGGTGAAGACACCGTTTTCTGCACAGTGTTTCCCAGCAGGAGCTCCAAGGGGGTCAAGGCAATGGAAGTGGCCTTCATGTCATGGACCCTTGGGCCAGAAAAAGGTGGGCTTCAGCTGGGCTGCCAACCACATCCGAAGCCTGGGTTTGCCATTTATTTCAATCATTTTCTTTATGAAAGAACAGGCGAGGGTCTCACTGGGAGCACCACCCTATACGGATCTGCTTTGCTTGTACCCTCTGCTTCCGGCCCACTCACCACTGCCCCCTCCCCCGCCCCCCCACCGGGGCTGCTGGCCACACAGCTCTGGGACAGCAGCAGATCTACCAGACAGGCCCCTCTCTTCTCCCTTGGGCTGTGACTTTTCCCACCCATTGCACGCATCAAATTGCTACCATCCACCTCTCTGTGTTGGTGCTGTCAACTCCCCACCCCTGCTCTCAGCACCGAGGCAAATCGGACTTCAGGTCCACCCAGCTGAGATGGTGACTGGTGAATGACGATGGGATGACCGGCCCACTCCGCGTCACCAAGGCCCTCTCCGTGCACACAATGGCACAGCTCAGGACACAGGCCCAGCAGGCACACCCAGCCCCTCACTCAAGCCCCTCCCTTCCGACGTGGGGATGTGCGACCAACACAGCCTGGCTACTGACATACAGAATGGTGGCCTAGCTTCTTGTCCTGGGAAGGGGAGTGCCACAGACACGCAGACCTCCCACAGCTGCAGGGCCTGAAGGCCTTGGGTTTGGTCAGGTGGGGACACAGGCAAGGTGGGAAGGCCGTTCTGACTGGCCCTGGCATGGAGTTGGCATGGACTGCTTCTTTGGTGTGTCTGTAGCCCAAGAACTCATCTCAAACAACATCTGGAGGTGCCATACTTGCCCTCACCACTCTCCAGACCCACTGAGGGGGCCAGGATCTCAAGGCGAGCCTGTGAAGCACCCTGCGGGAGGAGGGGGAGGGAGAGGTTCTCACAGCTCAGACGTCACAGTTAGCCCTGCCAGCAGTCCTGCAATCACAGGTGCGGCGGCACATGGCAAAGGACACTAATGACCATTATTCTATTAACAATACCATTTTATTAACAGCAATTAGGTACAGTGCGGGGGTGGGGAGTCATAGTGACAGTGGTGACTAGGATAAATGTTACAACGAATTTTAAAATGGATGACTTTGGGGCAGGTCAGTCAGGAAGAAGAGACTCCCAAGTGCCTGGTATACATGTGGCAAATATGTGTGCCAAGGCCAAGAGCAGCAAGAAGGCTGCTGGAGAGGGCTGGCTGGAAAGTCCACACAAAGGGGGGGCTCAGAGGCTCTGTGACCTAAAGCCACTCCTTGGGGGTGCCCTGGGGGGAAACATTTACAGGCAAATGCTTTCATTGCTACTGCCTGCAGCGGCAGCTTGGGAGAAGCTGGGGAGTGCGGTGTCCACAGGGCTCTGAAGAGTTCTGGCAGTCCTGGCGCTCTACAAGGCCATGTGCATGCCCAGGGCTGTGGCGATACCCAGGAGAGAGCCGACAAGGACCTCAACAGTCGCCTCTGGCTGACTCCGAGGCTCAGAGCAGGCAGGAAGTGAAAGAGAAGTGAAGTGAAGGTCAAGTGTTTAGCTGAGTGTTGATGAGAAATGAGGCTACCTATCCAATATGCTCAACAAACTCCAAAAGGGATAAAGTCAAAGCAATCCGCACCAAGACTGATTATAACCTGACTGTCCAGAGCCAAAGACCAAGAGGATCTTGAGACCAAGAGGAGAAGAGGGGCTGTGAAAGGGTCTCCGTGACATCAGCAGCTGGTTTCACAGCACAAGCTATGGAGGCCCGCAAAGCCGAACACATTTACTACCTGGCTCTTTACAAAACAAGTTTGCCGACGACAGCTACAGGGCAATGGAAATGAACAAATGACAGATACACACATGGTAGATGAATCTCACAGAGACATCATTACCATCAAGTCAGGACAGCAGCTGGCTGTCGGCGGGAAGAGACATGGGGGGCTTTCCAGGGTGCTAGCATGTTCTATTTCTTGACCTGGGTCATGGTTACACAAGTACTCACTTTAAAATCATCACTTGAATTGGAATAGAGGGGGTTGACCAGAGCACAGGGAAAATATCCAACTATTTCCTATTCCTATTCTACTCCCTCTGAATTGAGGTTCCTCACTAAGCACTATTTTTCTTATAAAAAAGACCTTTTCTGGGGCGCCTGGGTGGCTCAGTCATTAAGTGTCTGCCTTCAGCTCAGGTCATGATCCCGGGGTCCTGGGATCAAGTACCGCCTCGGGCTCCTTCCTCAGTAGGGAGCCTGCTTCTCCCTCTGCCTGCTAGTCCCCCTGCTTGTACGCTCTCTCTCTCTCTCTTTCTCTTGCAAATAAATAAATCTTTTTTAAAAGACCTTTTCTGAATGCATATTTCCATAATAAAACAATAAATTTCCTCAGAAAAAAAGTTTAATTGAAACTAAATGCAGATCCAATCTGCCACATCCAATAACAGAAATGTCAGAAGGATCTGATCTGGCACTGTTGGGGGTACAGTAAGCAAACGGGGATGGGCCTCACCACCAGGACGCCAGGAGCCCCGTCATCAGGACACAATCTAAGATGGGAACACGCTTTATGTCTCAACATGTTTCCTGCATCTTTTGGCCAGCTTGCCAGTGGGAGAGGGGTGGATTACCTAAGTAACCCATGTTCTGAAGACTACAGAGCAGGATAGAGAAACAGTAAATGAACGATACCACCTCTGACTCCGACACAGAGAAAATCAGTGTCCACGCCCTGGCTCACTTCCCACAAGGAGTTCTTGTACACGTTTGTCCTTTACAAAGGTGAGATCAGCCTGCAGTTTCCCTTTAACATTCTGTAACGTGCAGTTCTTTATGTTGTTGTAACCAACTTTTGAAACAACGAACACTATCCCACCACGTACATATACCATTATTTACCAAAGCACTACCCAATGTTAAAACTTTGGACTGTTTCCATTTTCCACTATTGTAAAGCTTGCAACAGCATCATATGTAATAGTAAAAAGCTGAAAATGACTTATAGGCTGGATAAAAGAAAATGTTAAGCAAATTACAGCAAATACCTGAACAGAAGGGTGTTTGACAATTAAAAATGTTACTTCCAAAACATGGGAAAATGCTTATAACATTTTTTTCAGTAATCTCTACGTCCAACGTGGGGCTTGAACTTACAAACCCCGAGATCAAGAGTCGCATGCTCTCTCTACTGACTAAGCCAGCCAGGCACCCCAGGAAAATGCTTATCATGTGATCACAGGAAAAGAACATAATGTAAAAGTGTACATGTGTTCTGATTACACTTACACAAAGAAATAAAAAATGATGAAAGGAAAAAAATATAGATAAATAGACCAAAATATTAACATCAACCATCTCTGGGCCACCAGGTTATGGACTGTTTTTATTATACCTCTGCACATCTTTGGGTTATCCCAAATTCCCAAAATTAATTTTTTTATTTTATAATCTGTAGAAAGAAATTTTTTTTCAAGGGAAGAAAAATCTTATGCATCAGAAGAAGAAGAAAGTGAGGGACGATCCCCAAATACTCCCTAAATGCTGGTCAAGCAAGAAGGAGCCACATGTGAGGCAGGCACTAGGCCGAGGTGCGCAGGGACAGCCCTGCCTCCGACCACTGAGCAGGCAGGCACCAGCCCCAGCAAGTGGCAACCACATACCTAGACTCATGACAGAGTTGTTGCTGCCCCAACAGATCTGCTCGCCCTGCTGCTGCTTCGCCATCTCCACAGCTTGGGCTGAGGTGTCAGTGACCTCCATGACTGCTTTCAACAGCTGGGAGGGATGGAGAGAGAGAGGCACATAGGCATTAAATGCTGGTGGTCTGATCTGCAGAAGCCGTCTCCTGCTTCCCACCCCAGTTCACATTCAGCATGTGCTCTTTCTTCCCTAGATCCTCAAGCATGTGGCATTCACCCCCAAGGACAGCCCAGGGTGAGGATGGGACTGCCGACCAGCTGGAGAGTCACCGATCAGAGCTCTCCATGCTAAGTCCCTTCTTCCAGGCCCAGTGGGAATGCCACACAATTAATGTGCCCCATCCCACACTAGCAGCCAAGCAAAGCCACAGGTGCAGTGGGAAAATCAATGTCCCAAGATTTTTAAAAAAAGGGGGCGGGGCCTTCCTGATGAGAAAAGAACATACCCTATCTTGCCCTGTTGGCAGAACGACAAAGGACAGGTTGGTCAGAGGTTTGGAAGTCTAGGAGTCTTTGTGTTAAAAAACCAAGACGGTGCTTGCTTCAGCAGTACTTAAACTAAAACTGGGAAAAAACAAGACAAATGTCGTGGAAGCCCTGGGCCGACATCAGAGTTTTAGGTTGGACTCCAGGGATCTGAAATGTGGAACAACAAAATGAGTAAGTAAATATTTATGTAGTCAGCTCAGCAATGTGAGACCACTTTTTCCTATCTGTCCGAGCTGGGTCAAGAGCACAGACAGGCAAACATCTGTCTGTCCGTCTGGCATAGTTCTCGGTCATACCCAAGAATGAACTGGCTGTGACACATTTGGGCATAGTGTGAAGACAGAGTGAGACTACTACAGGGACAGAAGCTAGAAGCTGGGATAAGGGTCCCATATGGTCACCCAGGACCCAGTGAAGGCAGTACACAAACTTCTTCCAGGCCCAGGGTCTCGGCTCAGCTAATAGCCCCCCGAAGTGCAGTGGGACTCTCAAGGGAACATTCCTGTCAGCCCTCATCCCTTCCACGCACCAGGAAAAGCACCTTCCCCGCCTGCCCCAGGCCCCGAGGCTGAGGGCCAGCGCCCAACTGCACCAAGCCCCTCCCAGCCCCCTGTCGCAGACCTCACGCCTGTGGCTGGGGCTACAGCAGCTGGGGGGGGGGGGGCGGGTAGTGGAGGAAAGAGTGATTCTTACTTGGCTGCATGAAGTCAGAGTCTGGTACACGGCCTGGATGATGGGGCCACTCGGGTGGAGGTAGGGGCCTGGGCGCTGGCAGCACTCACCCAGCTCGTCATCATAGACTTGGAGAAAAGCCACAACGAGCTGGTAGAAGTCAGAGATGACCAGGCGCAGCTTCTGGTCCAGGGTGCTGGTGTCGGCCCCACTCACGGCAACTCCTTGCTTGTGCTGTGCAAAGCACTGCAAAGCCAGAAGCAGAGGGGCTCTTGAGGCTGCCCTGCCTGCCCCTGGGGCACCAAATCTCTTCCCGCATCAGATACGTTAAGGCCAGAGGCAAAAAAGAGCAAGGTGGTCTTGAGCAAAGCCGCCTGGCTTCTGGCCTCAGCCCTGCCACTACTGCCTGTGTGGGCCTCAGTCTCCTCCTCGGGAAAAGGAGGCCAGGCCAAGGGCTGCTGGGAAGGCCACATGTAAGAAAGCATGTGAAAGCCCCGACCACAGGGCCTGGTGCATCGCCTGCAGGAGGCCGATTCTTTCCATTCTTCGGAAAGCCTCCCCACATCTGCCCCAAGTTTGTCTGCCTCTCCCCTTCCCATGGGCTGAGCACCCACAATGTTCTAGAATCCACTGAGCCCTGTGCATATACCACCTCACTTACGCCTCACAACACATTCATTGTAAAGATGGGGCACCCAAGGCTGGGGAAGTGATGCTCCTTGCCCTAAGACAAAGTGCCTAGTCAGGCCCTCACCCCCAAGTCCCACAGCCCCCAGGAGCCGGCACCCCTCACCTCTACCCTGAGCATCTGCAGCTTGGCAGTGCTCTCCTGCAGCTTCCTGGCCAGCTCCATCACCTTCTCGTCCTCCAGCTCCACAGAAGGGCTGGCCCTGCAAGGAGAGAGAGGACACGTCCGGCCCCACGCCAGGGCAGGCCACGCGCGGAAAGGCCGGTCTCAGGTAACAGAACCGAGCAGGACACATACCTCTGCCAGTCGTCGTTCCGCTGGTCAAGGAGGGGCTGCGTATCCACGGGCCATGGGTCACACTCTGGGCTCAGGAGCATCTGCAGGTGGGGGCTAGAGAAGAGCTCCCCCAGCAGTGCCTCATTCTTCTCTCTCGTATCCTCGAAGTGCTCCTTCACACTGCCAAGGGAGCCCCAAGGCCATGCTGTCACTGGCCAGAGCATGGCCTCCAGGGACTGTGTCAGCAGATTTGCTGAGACCCCTGGCCAAGGAAGCCCTCAGTCCCCTGGGGGAGACCCAGAGGGCAAAACAAGCCCGGGCAGAGGGGCCGGGAGACAATATCTCCCCCAGCCCCCGCCCTGCTTTGGCAGCCAGGACTGAGCCCCAGTCCTCTGAGAGCCCACCTTCCCCGGCAGGCCTGCCTGTCTTCTCTACGGCCTGCACTGCACCTTCACGCTGACAGCCTGGTACTGTGAGCACTGCCCCAGCGGGATGTTCCACCTGGGCTCACACCCCACTGGGCCCACACCCCACCGGGCCAGTGTGTAGCTGCTGCTGCCCAAGTGGAAAGTTAAGACCCCAGCTGGAGATGTACCTGCTGGTGGTCTAAAAACAAAGTTAAAGATAAAGTTCCAAGGGCTCCAGATAAAGTTCCAAGGGCGCCTACCGGCCATTCTGTGGAGGGCCCATCCTGAGCCTTTACCTGGAGCAGCTGCAGCATCCAATGGTCAGGCTCCGGACTGCATCCAGCAGCTGGTCCATTAGGTGCAACTGCTTCTGGGCGCAGGCCCGGCCCTGGGAAGGGAAGACCATGTGTGCTCACTAACGGGACATGCCGGGGGCCCCAGCCCACCCCTTGCCCTGCCGGGGCCAGCATAAAGGAGCGCTTGGGCCAGCAGCATTTGGGACTGGCTTGGGGAATGCTGTCACTGAGTGCTGCCAGCCTCGGGTTGCAATGGTGCCTGGGACCATGCTATGGCAAGTGCCCATCACACATCCCCCAGCACAGTTCCTTGGGCAGGGACGCAGACTGTAGCAGGGCCTACAGCCCACAGGGACCTGATGACAGTCTGTTCCTCAGGAACGCCTCCAGGAAGAAGCTTATTCTCCTTGGCAAATTGCCCTCCCCAGGCAGGAACGGCCTATGATGACCCTGCTCCTCACAGGAAGAACAGGTGGCCAGACGTTACAGCTGACATAGTCCCCCCCACCCCGAAGGCAGCTGGGATCCCCAGCAGGGACCTGCCTGGCCAGGAGCTCAAGGCTTGAAGAAGCAGAGGAGGCTTACAGCCAATCCTCAGGACCTAAACCATTACAACCTGAGAGGCCTGGCCTGCTCCAGAGAGCCCTGTGTGAGCAGTGGTATCCGAAAGAAAGCTGGGCCTGCCTCTCCACCGTAGACCCTCGTTGCCCCTGCCCTGACACGCCGCTATTCTGAGGAAAGCACGAGAATGATTGGCTCAGCCAGCATCACTATAAAGCCCTCCCAGAAGCAACTGCACTTCAAGTGGGCACGGAAGGCACAGGCTGTGGTGGCATTTCAGGCTGGGCAGCCCTGGGTGGGGAGGAGATCTGGGAACAGGAGCATGCTCTGCTATGATGTTTGCAGCCCAGATGCCCGTCCATGGGCGCCAGGCCTCATGGCTACAGCCGCCTGGCACTCCTCCACAAACCTGGCTCTCGGCTGTGTAGCCACATCAACAAGACCGGTGACTCTGGAAGCTCCTCAGCCTAAAACTGGCTACTTGGAGCTGATCACTACCTCCTGTTGACGCATTCTCCCAATCTGCCCAAGTGACACTGAGCCCAAGAGACACACTTGAGGGCAGCCTGGGAGTAGAGCTGGGGGGGGGGGGGGAGGAGACACGATGTAGACAGGAAACAGCCTAGACAGAAACATGGGAGCAACTATCACTCAGGACCCCACAAAGCCTTGACCAGTGGCCAGGGCTGGGACACCCTGCCTGCTGCCCCCTCCTCAGCACAGCCCTGACTCTGACGGCCCCCCAGTGCCCATGAAGGGATAGGTATCCCTGCTCAGGGCTCGGCCAGCCTGGGGTAGGGCTGGGACTGTGGTGCTGAGCATACCAGTGATCCTTTTCATTCAGCTGCGCTGGTATTTGTATTGAGATGCACATGCCAGGAATTGACCCTTTTTAAGTGCACAGTTCAGCGGTTATTAGGACAGTCAGAGAGCCGTGCGGCCATTGCCACTCGGTAAGTCCAGGACATTACCATCACCCCCAAAAGCACTCCTGTCCCCATGAACAGTCACTCCCCACACCCCTCCCCCATCCTAGCCCCTGGTACCCACTGATCTCCTTTCTGCACCTATGGATTTGCCTCTTCTGGACATTTCCTATAAATGGAACCTCACATATGGGGTCTTTTGTGATTGGTTCCCTTCACTCAGCATCATGTTTTCAAGGTTCATTCAGGCTGTAGCACGGATCAGTAGTTTGTTATTATTGCTCTTTATCCATTCACCAGTTAAGGGGAACTGGGGCTTTTTTCTACTTTTTGGCTCTTAAGCAATACTTCCTGCTCATGTACAAGTTTCTGTGGGGCTCTACAGCTAGGAGTGGGAAGTCTAGGGCTTACCCTTCTGAGGAGCACCCAGACCACCTGCCACGATGGCTACACCCCTTGGCATTCCCAGCAGCAACGCGTGGCAGCCCCAGCGTCCGCTCACCCTCGGGGGTATGAAGTGGGATCTCATCGAGGTTGTAGTTTGCATTTCCCTGATGACGGATGACAGTGAGCATGTTTTCATGTGCTCACTGGCCATTTGTTTATCTTCTTTGGAGAAAGGTATTCAGATCCTTTGCCCATTTTTCAGTTGGGTTACTTGTTTTTTTCTTATTGAGTTGTAAGAGTTCTTTATACATTCTGGATCCTAGACCCTTGTCAGATCTATGATTGACAAAGATTCTCTTTCAGTCTGTGGATTCTCTCCACTTTCTTGATGTCCTTTGAAGCACCAAAGTGGCTCATTTTAGTGAAGTTTAAATGATCTATTTTTTTCCTTTTTACTTGTACTTTTGGTATCAAAATGACTTTTTAAAAATATTATGAACTCATGGATTTGAATTCACAGAAAGGCCTCAGTCTACTGCAGTCACTGTCCTTACAATGCAGGCATCATCCCCATAACATCCCTTCTTTGGCCTGTGAGGGCTTCTACTGCTAGCTGGCGCCCCAGTCCTTTAGGTGTAACTGTAAGTCTTGGATATCTGCCCTGTTCTCTCATGTGACAAGGTGTTCCTGCCTTAACTGGTACATTTCCTGCCCCAGGCCTGTGTTACAACTGGAGTATCACTGTTCTTGGCCTTTTAAGAGGACAAAGCAAGGAAATACATATATACCCACACACTGTTTTTAAGTTAAAATACATTAAAAGCTGACACTGATATTCCCAATTCAAATTCCAGACTACAGGGTTTGACTAAACTTAATTATCTTATACCTGTACCTCCTTCCTCCCATGCCCCAACTCTCAGCTTTCAATATGCCGACATAAATTACTTTTTGGTTTTTATTTTGTATTCCACAAAAAGGAATGAAGTACTGACCCATGTTCCAACATGAATGACCCTTGAAAATATTGTGCTAAGTAAAGAAGCCATTACAAAAGGCCACATACCATATGACTCCATTTATATGAACTAGAGATGGCAGAATAATGGGTAATGGGGAGTGACGGCTTAATGGGCACGGGACCCCCTTTTAGGACGATGAAAATGTTCTGGAACTAGATAGATGTACTTAGTGCCACTGACTGCACGCTTAAAAATAGTTCAGATGGTAAATTGTAGGTTTTATGTATTTTACCACAACAAAAAAATGTTTTTAAAAAAGAACCCTTCAGCACCTACTGGGAAATTTTTTTAATGGTTAAAATGGTAAATATTGGGGCATCTGGGTAGCTCAGTCAGTCAGGCTTCAGCTCAGGTCATGGTCCTGGGATCCTGGAATTGAGCCCCATGTCAGGCTCCCTGCTCAGTGGGGAGCCTGCTTCTCCCTCTCTCTTAGCAGCCTTTGTGCTTTCTCTCTCTCTCTCAAATAAATAAAATCTTTTAAAAAAAGGTAAATATTATGCTATGTGCATTTTACCACAATGAAAAAAATCTTTAAAGATAAAAAGGAAGGAAGGAAGGGGTTAGAGTTCCAGGTAAGACTGAGGGACCAGCTTCCCCTCCCACTGAGTACCCACATCTGAGAGTGGGACAGAATGCATGTGTCAGGTGTCTATAGTCTTGGAAGGGCAAATATCAGCAGGTGCATCAGGGAGGCATGCCAGAATCCAAGGCTATCATTGAGACTGGTGGTGATTTACCATGTTCTCTCCTCCGGTCTCCCTGGACCTGCACTCAGCCCAGCTCAAACCCAGAAGGGAGCAAAATGGTACAGACAGAGAGCTCCAGAAAAGGAAACCCCTAACACTCAGAGAGTGTAGAGGAAATCCCTGGCCTTTTCTCTCTCCCTCTGCTCTGTGACCCCAGACCCCAGGCAATATCATGGCAGGGGTGGCAGAAGCAACAAAGCTGGCTGATAGCAGAAAACTGCTCTGGGCGCAGGGAACCTCCCTCCCCATTCAGGGGAGCTATGTGGGGAGGGGGAACAAACCCTGTTCCTGCTTCTTCCACTCTGTCCTCCCACCAGTGTGGTATAGTCACAGAAGTAGGCGGTTTATGGCTGCAGGGCAGCAAAGGATGGCCCTCTTCCCAGGAGCCAGACAGTATCAAAGAGATGACAGGAAGGGAAGATCTAGGGGAAGCAACCCTATAAATCTGTTTACGAATGCCTGGGCTCATCCCCACTCATGCAGGGGTAGATCTGATCTTGATGAACATACCAAAGAATGATTACAGGGGAGAGGCCAACACCCAGGCCCCAGGCTGACCATCGGGTGGCACACATGCAGGACAGGCCCGAATAGCAGCACAAAGGCTGCAGAAACCAAGCTGACACTGGCTGGAACCACAGGCCAGAGAAAGAGGCAGAACATGCAGCTTAAAACTAACCAGGTCAAGTGCCTGCAAAAACACAAATACCAACATTCTCCATAAAATTTAGTAAGGCCCAGAGACAAAGTAATAGTCAAGAATGTCCAGGACGCAATCCAAAATTATTTGGCACATGAAGAAAACCATGAAAATCTCAAATTGCATGACAAAAGATGATCAACAGACACCAATCACAAGATGGTACAGATGTTGGAATTACTTGACAAATTTAAAGCAGTCATTATAAAAATGCTAAATAAGTAATCATGAAAACTCTTGAAACAAAAGTTAAACTAGAAAACAGCAAAGAAACAATTAAAAAAAAAAAACAGGAAATATCTTTTTAGAGCTGGAAAATGGAGTAACTGAAATAAAAAACTCAGTTATGGCCCAAACAACAGAATGGAGGGGACAGAAGCAAGAGTCAGTGAACTTGAAAACAGATTAACAGAAACTATCCACCGTGAGCAACAGCAAGGAAAAAAACATCGAAAAAAATTAAGAGACTCATGGACCTGTGGTACAGTAACAAAAGGGCTAACACGTGTGTCATAGGAGTCCCAAAAGGAGGGGAGAAAAATGTGTGGGCTGAAAAAATATTTGAAGGGATAATGTCTGAAAACTTCCCAAATTTAAGAAAAGGACACAAACTTACAGATTTGAGAAGCTGAGCGACTCCAAACAGGACAAACCCAAAGAAATATTCCCACAAACACATAATCAAATTGCTGAAAACTAATGACAAAGAAAAAAGTTTTAAAGCAGCAGGAGAAAACCAATGCATGACCC